TTTCCCCAGTGGCATCGCCTGTCCCATTCCATCTATCCATCCAGCAGACATTAATCATTTGCTTGCTGCCAAGCCCTGTGCAGGCCACTGGTGACAGAGATGAGTAAGACAGACACACAGCTGGGCCCTCCATGTGTATCTGACCGACTCAGTCGGCCACCCAGGGGGACTGGGGCATCTGTGTTTTTAACAGCTTTTGCAGGCTCTAGGGAGGTGGTTCAGTCAGTGACGTGTTTTCCTATGCAAGCACAAAGAACTGAGCGTGAATGCCTAGAACTCAGGTAAAAAGTTAGTGCACTTGTGCACACTCGTAATGGCAGCATTTGGGGAGGTGGAGACAGCAGGATTCCCAGGGCTTGCTGGCCAGACAGCTTAGTCAGGGAGTGAGCTCCAGGTTCAGTTACACATAGCCAGACCTTGCAGTGACTTGAGAGGGCATGCCCTTTGGTCTTGTGGGCATCGTGCCTGCCCAGCACTGCATTCATTGGGCTATCCAGATAGTCTGAGGATCTGGCCTGCTTCTAGAAGGCCCCTTTGTCCAAAAAGTCTGCCACTTCTTTCTATGACTTGCTACCTGTGTGTCCTTGCAAAACACCAGCGATCTGGAAGGCTCAGCACTCCCCTGAAATAACCAGAGACAAGAACAGGGCCTCCTGCCTGCCCGGGTTAACTGAACTAGCGTGTGCAGAGTCCCTGGCACACATATAAGCGCCTGAGAAACGCTGGCTGCTGATTATATCACAGCAGCACTCTGCCGGCCAGACATACCTCCCTGGGGCATTTCACGACCCCCTACTCCTGAAGCCTGTTTCACTCCTAATCCCCACCAACACCAACACAAGCTGCCTCTGGACCCAAAAAGTCTAAGACACAGCCTCCACTTTAGCTAACCAGAGTGACCAAAGTTACCACTACATTCCTGCCGGCAGCCTGCTCCCAGGTTTCAGTGGGCAAGAGGAAGAACTTTCCAGGCTAAGGCTCCGCGGGCAGAGGCGGGCACTGGGCAGACCTGCCTATCGGGTGCTAGGCGCTCCCTTCCCTAAAACGCGCTGAGCAAAAACGAAGAGCACGTGGCACCCATGTTAGTCCAGGGCTTGCCTGGAGGGTGGCTTGACAAGTGCAACATGGGCTCTGGACGCCTGCTTCCCCCCTTGTCTGTGGCCACCCCGCTGGGATCTTCTGCCACCAGGCTCCGTGGCTTGATCCTAGGGGACGTGGTTGCTCGACCTGTAGCGATCCCTCAGGGTGGAGTCAGAGCAGGCGCGCGCCAGGGGTCCCGGGGGACAGTGCACTGCCTAAGGCACCCGAACCTGGAGAGGGTCACTCACCTCGGCGGCTGGCCGCTTGGAGGAGCCGTGGCAGCTGCAGGTCGCCGGCGGAGGCGGTGGCTCGGCCCCAGACTCCTCCTCTCCCTGCGCCCCGCCCGCCCACCCGTAGGGCCGGACCTGGCCGGGTGGTGGCCACCCGCCAGCTCGCTGCCGCCTATCTCGCAGTGCCACCCCTCCCGCCCTCAATCGCTGAGCGCAAGGCCCTTGGTCCCCGCCCTGCACTGCAAGTGGAGGAAGCCACCAACCACCATCCTCCTCAGTTCCCCCAGGGAGTCTCAGAGTCGCTTCCTTGTCTGCCCACAGTAAAGTGAGCAGAACCGACTACCTCCGTCGATGAGAAGGGAGGGAGAAGACGTGGTGAACTCTGCCCGCCTCCCCCACTTGAAGAACACTTCAAATCCAAGTGCAGTTGATGATCAAGGTCAATGTAGTAGTTTAGGCGGCAAACTAGGGCTGCATAGGTGGGCAGAGCCCAAGGTGACAAGTGGGGGGGTGGGTTTCTTCCCTCTTCTGCAGTGAAAGTGGGAACCACAGCAAGGGAGCACAAGCTTTCATCCGGAAGGAGTATAGGGGTGGCTGTAGCTCGATTACATTTCCATCCCTTGCTCCCATTAGAGATAGATGACTTTTGACCTGCTCTAAGAAGTCTGCAGATTTCAAGGCCCGTTGGTGTTGTGTTGGTCTGTCACGGCTCCCTGGGAACTATTGGCTACACAAGAATCCTACACACACCCACGAGTTCCAGGATGCCATCCTTCCTGGTCAAAGTTGTCCTCTGCCCTGGGACACTGCCTGATGCTGCCCCATCACACACGTAATGCCCGCAGCTTTGCTGTGCAGCAACACACTAGGGCACAGCATAATGTTGCTGTTTCAGACTTACGGGCCTCACCTACCCTCTGCTACCTCACCCACCCTCTACTGATGGCCCTGGGGGTGTTATCGTCACACCCAGCTTATGGGAAGTGGGAGTATGGCTTTCCTGACTCATGGAACATTCCTAGAGTTCAGAAGAATATTCCATCAACTCCTGGTAAGGAACTTTGACTTTTGCAGTATGCATGGGAGGGTGAGGGGCTTGTAGAAGTATTCGTATATGTGCATGGGATGTGTGTGTGTGTGTGTGTGTGTGTGTGTGTGTGTGTGTGTGTGCACAAATGTATGTGTGTGAAGACCACAGATTAATGTTAGGTCTTCTCCTTAATTGCTTCTCCACTTTATTTTCTGAGACAGAGTCCCTGGAAGAACCTGGAGCTCACTGGTTTGTCTGGGTTGGTTCGGGAGCCTCTTGTCTCCTTCCCCCGGTGCTGGGATTACAAGCATGCTGTGCCGGCTGGCTTTTTGCTTGGGTGCTGGCACCAGAACTCGGATCCTTGAGCTTGCCTGGCAATGCTTTACCAGCTGAGCCTTCTCCCCAGTGCTTTGTTTTGGAAACAGTGCCTCCCTTGGTAGCCCAGAGTGCCTTTGAACTTGGAGCAGTCACCCTGTCACAGCAGGGATCACAGGTGTGAGGCACCAAACCTCAATTGAAGTCACTTTGAGGAATTCTGAGAATCCTGTTTTCCAGGAACCCCCCCCCCCCCCGGGATATCAGGGAGCTTTAGAGAGGTCGGAAGTGAGGGGGCTGGGCCGCATGGCCCTAAACCAGCTGCTTAAAGCTATCAAGCTATCAGCAAGAGGGTGTCAGGGAGTAAAGGCAATTCCTGTCAACCCCAGTCCAGTCTCTGCGACCTGCAAAGCGAAGAGAACCAACTTCTAAAAGTTGTCCTCTGACCTCCATATGTGTACTGTTCAACCTTGTGTACACACACAATAGGTGACTTGTTTTCCTTAAAGGTACAGTGGGATAAAGAAGCCAAGTTCTGTGCTCTCTGTGGAGGGAATGCTTCTCTTAGGGGTTCACCTGCTTTCCAAGTAGCCCAGAGCTCCCATGAGCATCCTGAGCTTTCTCTTGGTTAGGGGCTCCCTTCCCCCAGCTCTCTATTCTGTCTGCCCCAAGACCTCATTCAAGGCTAGAGAGTCCCAATGTCCAAACATGCCCCAGCAAGCACATCTCTGTTCCTTTGGCCATTCTTAAAGGCTCTCTATCCATTCAGGTTATAATGTCCCAAGTTGTTATGCAGTGTTCTGGGGGCTAGGCAGAGTGCCAGGCTGGCCCCTGCCTTGGGCAGATAAGAACCAGTATTTCAAGCTCCATGATGCCCCTGGGTACACTGCCCACACACAGTGCTTGGTCTTGAAGATATGTCTAGGAAAGGTGAGGAGATGGCTCAGTCAGCAAAGGTTTTCAAGCATGAGGACCTGAGTTTGAGCCCTAAGAATGGGCATTAAAAAGCCTGGCTTATTAAAGCTAGACGGCCACAGGAAGCCACCATGTGTCCTGGTAGCCCTGGTCAAGAGCCAGGCCGCTTGAATTTGGTCCTGTCTGGCTGAGTAATATGCTGTGGTCCCAGAGAATGTCTAGTTACTCTCTGTACCGGCTAAGCCGGGCACCAAGAGACTCTCCTATGCTCTGGAAGTGTAAGGGGCAGGGGGATGTGTTCTTCCACATGGCAGGTAAGCTGCACTTGAGTGAGAGCTCACGACAGTGACCCAGAAAAGTGAGGAATTCTTTGTCTTTATCATAGACCAGTGGGTAAAGTGTCTCACCCACACCCAGAGAACTGTGACAGGCAGGTGAGGGAATGGGCCTGGAAGCTAGCTGGCCTTGGAAGCAAAGTGAGCTCCAAACTCTGTCTCAGAAAAAAAATCCTTGATGCTGTTCTTAAAATAAAGTATATGCTTGGGAATTCTATCCTATAAAAACAACAACAAACCCAAGGCTGATTCAGGAAGGAAAATACTTCTAGCATACTTCCTTTTTTCTTTTTCTTCTTTTCTTTCTTTGTTTCTTTTTTTTTTTTTCTGAGACAAAAGGGTTTCTCTGTCTAACAGCCCTTGCTGTCCTGGCAACTCACTCTGTAGACCAGACTGGCCTCAGACTCACAGTGCGAGATCCGCCTGCCTCTGCCTCCTGCGTGCTGGGATTAAAGGCATGCGCCACCACTGCCCAGTTACTTCTCTTTGGTTTTAGAGCAGCTATCAGACAGCTGATCTTGTTTCCTCCTTTACCATGATGACAAGGACACAGAGCCATACTCCTGACAATGGTGTCCTTATTATTGCATTCCTCCATTGGTTAGCTTTTCACTGTGAGACTCAAGTTACCTTTGGGTCAAGCTCACTCCTTAAGCAAACAAGACACTGGCAGTTCTTTTCTCTTTGCCTGTAATCCAGAAAGAATGAGGTGGGCTGGGAGACAGCTGGGTGAGTGAGTAAAATTCTCTATATGCAAGCACGAGGACCAGAAATTGATCCCCCAGATTCTCCCCACACAGGCAAAGCTAGGTTTAGAGGTGCACCCAGCTCCAGGGAAACAGAAACCAATAATCCCTGGGGCTCTCTGGCCAGCCAGCCTGGCTAAACCCAGCGAGTTTCAGACAACATGTCTCTCTCTCAAAAAGTCAGGCAGATGGTACTTGAGGTTGACACCTCTTGTCTGCACGAATCCACACATGCACAAAAAGAAAAGAAAAGTGGGTGTGCACTTGCTGGAGGTGTCTTTGAATACCTGCAGCTGGGATGAGTCCTGCCATGCCCTGCCTCCTTCCTGCCCCGCAGACCCCAGCTCACCAGGTCTAGAGTTAGTTGCACTGTCCTTCTCTGGCGATTCTCCGTAGCCTTGTGAGGAGATGGTGGGGCAAGACCCCTGCTGACCATGGGCCTTGGCAGCCATGTTGCTCTTCAGAAGCTGGGCCCCTCAGGCTGGGTGGCTGGAGCTCACTACACAGCTTGAGCAGTGGTGAACAGTATAAACCAAGCTCCAAACAAGCAGGTCACAGCCCCGCCCAGGACCTGGTGGGATGAGGAGGGTGCTGGTCGATGGCCTCAGATCATCTGCAACCACGCTGAGTTCAAAGGTGGACAGAAAGCCTCTGGTATAAGGGCTGTAGTTCCCCCTGGCCTGTTGCTCTCTGCTTCCTGGGACCTGGCCCTGCAGAAGGAGGGGAGAGAAGGGAAGTGACATTTGAGCTGAGCTGGTGACAGTGCTACTTTGAGAACTCTGAAAGATGAATAGATCGGTGTTGGATGTGGTGGCACACGCCTTTAATCCTAGCCCTCAGACTCTTGGAGGCAGGCAGACCTGTGAGTTTGAGGTCAGTCAGGGCTATACAGTGAGACCTTGTCTGTCAAGACAAAACAAACAAAAAAAGAGTAGACCAAGGCCAGTGAGAAGACTCAATGACTGCCACCAGTCCTAACAGCTACCATTCCATCTTCAGGACCAACACGGTAGGAAGAAAGAACCAACTCCCTCAAGTTGTCCTCTGACCCCCACACATATATAAAATAAGCAAATAAAGGTAATGGAAATGTTAATGAAATAAAAATGTTAAAACAAAAGGATAGATCAGGCCCATCTTCAGATAACAGAGTGACTCACCCTCATGAAGTGAGACGAGGCATACCTGAGATTTGAACCGGGTTCCTATGAACCCAGGATCTCATTTACTTCTGCATCTCAGGTGGAGGGCTCCAGCAGTCAGTGGCCTCCTCACCTTTGGAGACTCCTTTAGCTCAAGGTCTGAGATGATGAGGGCGAGGCCTCTCAGGGGTGGTGAATGCTGAAGGAAGGAGATAATGCTCTCCACAGGCGGCTCACCACACACACCCCACCCTGCTTGGGGAGATCTCAGCGACCATTCCCAGACTCTTTTTTTTTTTTTTGAAACAGGGTCTCTCTGTATTCTTTTGGGGGCTGTCCAGGAACTCGCTCTGTAGACCAGTCTGGCCTCAAACGCACAGAGATCTGCCTGCCTCTGCCTCCTGAGTGCTGGGATTAAAGGTGTGAGTCACCAACGCCTGGCTTGTCCCCAGACTCTTAGCAGGATGGCAGCTCCATGCTTCAGCTCCCAGCTGTGGTGAAAGCTACTGGGAAAGACTCTATGACAGGTTGGGGGACTGTAGAGGTTCTATAACCCCAAGCAGTAATGAAGAGACTCTAAAGGAATTCTCTCTCTCTCTCTCTCTCTCTCTCTCTCTCTCTCTCTCTCTCTCTCTCTCTCTCTCTCTCTCTCTCTCTGTGTGTGTGTGTGGGGGGGTGTTCTCTGTCTCCGTCTCTCTCTGTCTCTGTCTCTCTTTCTCTGTCTCTCTTTCTCTGTCTCTGTCTCTGTCTCTCTCTCTCTCTCTCTCTCCAGGGTTTCTCTGTATGACAGCCCTGGTTGTCCTGGAACTCTCTGTGTAGACCAGGCTGGTCTCAAACTCACAGAGATCCACCTGCCTCTGCCTCTCAAGTTCTGGGATTAAGGGCATGCACCACCATGCCCAGCCTAAAGAAACTCTCTTCAGCTATATGACTATTGAAACAATGGGCTCATAGAAACTAGAATTTCCCCAGGAATCTACTGGGAGAAGAAAAGGCCTGAAGCCTGGTGGCTCTTAGGGGAGCTAATTTCCTGGACAGAGATGTCCCCCAGCTCTGACACCATGTTAGACCATCTTGGCAGGAGAGACTGAAAGCCAGACAACCACGGTAAGCAGGCCCACTCGACCAGGACTTATTAGCTATGCACACCTCTTGCCCTTTATTTAAACCTAAACCTCATGTCAGGACCTGGAAGATGAGCTTGAAGTGACACTGGCTTCTTTGTTCCTCTTTCCAACGTTACTGTGTTGTGCCCAAATTCTGAACCCCAAAATCACCAAGAGGCCCATTTCAATGCAAAAGCCAAGAGTCTTTTATTGTAGCTGTTTAAGGAGCTAACCCCATTAGCTCAGGCCCTTCACCCCGCCACCATGGCAAATGGCTGGAGGAAAGACCCTAAGAAATCATGAGGCAGGGGCCTTATAGAGCAGTGTAAGGGGAGTGTCTAGGGGGTAAGCAACAGTCTCAGGATTGGTGCACTTCCAGGCTTGGACGACCCACCCTGTTTAATTGGTCAACTGGTTGTGATGGCCTGTAGGCTCTCCCAGGGCAGTTGCTATGTTCTGCATGTCACTGTTGTGCACTTGTCCATAAAGCACAGCCCCGCCAACTAACTTCTGATTGGTTCCTTGCCACGAGGAGGGCATCTGACCTCCTAGTGACCAGGACAGGAGCAGCAAGGTCATACGAGCACATGTTAGCCTGTCGTGACTGCTAACGTGGGGGACTGATCCCTTCAACTGCACTGAATAATTCCCCTTTCTCTGCTTTGCTCTGTGACAGGCTTTTCCTGGGGAGATGCAACACACCACATCTACTCATCCCTTATTGGGAGCCCACCACAGGCCAAAGTATGAACAATACCAAAGTTCAATTTGGTGAACCAATGAGTTTCAGTGGAGTTAAGTCTTAGACACTGTTCTGTTGCCATGATGAGTCATCAACTCTTATAAAATTCTTATAAAAAAGGGAATTTAACTGGGGGCTTGCGTACACTTTCAGAGGTTTAGTTCGCTATCATCATGGGGGGAGGAGCTTGGCGGCAGGCAGATGCTGGAGCAGTAGCTGAGAGTTCTATATATTGATCTGCAGGCAGACACACACACATACACACACACACACACACACACACACACACACACACACACACACACGGAGGGGGGGGGGACGGAGACTGGACTGGACCTGGCATGGTTTTGGAAACCTTAAAGCTCACCCCAGTGACACACTTCCTCCAACAAGGCCATACCTCCTAATCCTTCTAATCCTACCAAAGAGTTCCCCTCCTTGGTGACTTAGCATTTAAATAGATGAGTCTATAGGAGTCACTCTTATTGAAACCACCACAGGTTACTTACAGTTCCATGGGTGAGGGGTTACCTACAGGAGCAGAAACAATCCAAATACAGCTGCATTATCAATGCCCACAGTAAAATCTGCAAACCTGGAGCACACTGCACAGCCTGCTCAACAGGTTGGAAAATGCCCTTTCCACATGGCTTAGTTGTCCTAAGCCCCTTCAAGGCAGCTCATCTGGTTTCTGCTCCTTCCAGGAAGTTGGTCTGGTCTCAGGTTTGTTTTTTTTTTTTTTTTTTTGCAGCTCATCTAAGAGTGACTCTCGGCAGTCTTTATTGTTTTCCTCTTGGGAAGGAGAACACCAGTGAATCTGGTCAGTTTCAGGAGCTTCCTGAAGCTATTTTGAGTTGCCTGTTTTTCTGTCTTAAGGAGCTTCCCTGCAAGACCAAGTATTTCAGTCTCAGAGGAAACTTATGCAACAGCTTTTCACTATTACTTATATGTTTAATTGGCCTCTTGAGGACCAGTATCCCAGCCTGGCTTGTTAGAACTGCCAGGACCCCCATAACTCTGCAAGAAGGGGAGAGACGGTACAGGGGAGGAAAGGCCTGGCTTGCCTTTGCTACCTCATGTGGGCAGTGGGACCCAGCGAAGGTTGAAGAGAGCCAGCATCTGTGACAGAATAGCTAGCACTGCTTTTCCTGTCTGCTACACAGCAGGGACTGCACTTTGAATTAGGTGTTAGAACTGTGTTTACTCATTTAATCTTTCTAGTGCATTTTCTCATTTTCAAACAAGGACCTGGAAGCATAAGAAGATTATATCAGCTGCCTGGTGTACACAGTGTGACATCCATGAGGCATGCTTGCCCAGACCAGCAGGGCACAACGGGTTCGAGCCACGGGAACCTGGAATGAATGAGACAAGAGACAAGAGGGAGATGGACAGCAGGACAACATGGCTGATCAAGCTGCCGCTTAATGAAAGTTCTGTACAGGCTTAAATAGGGGGATGTGGCGTTGGACATGGGGTGGAGGTTGTTAGACCGGAAGTGAGGCAGGGGGCTGTTAGGGGTGGGGAGCATTTGATATGGAAGAGAGCAGGAGATCTCATGGGGAGTACAGGTGTTACCAAAGTATTGTTAAGTTATCTCTATGGCACCAGGCCATCTGTGGGAAGGTGCCTGAGTTTTGGGAAGTGCCTTCGGGTAACCTGGTCCCTAACACATGCTACCCGTGTCTTGCCTACCACTGTGTTCTAGTTGTCTATGCTCACTCCAGAAACGACTCTCTTCCTCCCAACTATGAGACAGTGAATCCACAAAGGAAGTTTGGGATGTGGCTCAGTGTTTGCCTAGTGTCTTAGGGTTTTATTGCTGTGAAGAGACACCAGGACCCAGGCAACTCTTATAAAGGAAAACATTTAGCTGGGGCTGGCTTACAGTTCAGAGGTTTAGTTCATTATCATCATGGCAGGAAGCATGACAGGACTGGAGAGGGAGCTGAGCATTCTACATCTTGATCTGCAGGAAGCAAAAGGAGACTGTGTGCCACACTGGGTGTAGTTTGAGTACATGTAATCTCAAAGCCCGCCCCCACAGTGACATACTTCCTCCAACAAGGCCGCACCTCCTAATAGTGCCATTCCCTATGGATAAGTATTCAAACACATGAGTCTATGGGGGCCATTCCTATTTAAACCCTGGTTCCATTCCCAGCACTGTATCAACCAGGCATAGGGGCACTTGGGAAATGGAGGCAGGAGTCTTGGAAGTTCAGTGTCATCCTTGGTTGGCTACATAGCAAGTTCAAAGCCAATTTAGTATTGCATGATACTGTGTCACAAAACTAAGTCAGGCATTGCTGGCGCATGCCTTTAATCCCAGTACTCGGGAGGCAGAGGCAGGTGGATATCTGTGAGTTCGAGACCAGCCTGGTTGACAAGAGAGAGTTCCAGGACAGTCTCCAAAGCCACAGAGAAACCCTGTCTCAAAACCCCCCAAAACAAAACAAAACAAAACAAAACAAAAACAAAAGCAAAATGGGAAGAAATG